GTTTGTTCTCCTGCACTATATCAGCCAGTGTAGACTCCACTGTAGTTATTCTTCCTTGGAAGTCGTTCATTGACGTTTCAATGGCCTGGATTGTCTCATCGTGCCTGATTATAGCTGCGTGGTTGGATGTTATTTGTGCTGTCAAGCTTCCAATTATACGCTCTTCCATGCCAGCGAGTAGTTTCTGTATGTCAGAGAGGGACAGCGCCTGGTTGCCGACCTCGCCATGTGCGGAGTTGTTGCTAGCTTGTGAAGCTAACTCACAGCCCTCCTCCGCCGTCGCTTTCATCACTTTTCTTGGTCTTCCTCCCCATGACAAATCGTGTACAGTCGACACCAAGTCAAAGTCACTCTTAGAAGCAGGCCTTGCAAGTTTTAGATGGGAAATTAGTAGGGCAAATTACAAATAAATGTTAAATGGTGACAGAGCTCTTCCGACTAGCAGCTTACTCCGCCATTCGCCAGACCGCCTCCTCTCCGGCAACAATCTTGATTCTGATTGGCCAGAAGACTCGAAAAAACATCAGCAAAGATGTTTTATTGAGAAGATGCTACGTGACAGAAGTTTTCAAAACCGTTTATGGTCGGTACTGCATGCACAGCATTAGAAAATCGGGCCTTCAAAATAAAAGTTTGCCTTTTTTCCCAAAAAATAAAAAAGAATTTTTTTCTTTTTCAATTTTTTTTTTCTTCACTCACACATATGCGACCCACTTGAAACGGGTCCGCGACCCCCTTTTGGGTCGCGACCCACCAGTTGAGAACCCCTGCTCTAGAGCAGGGGTTCCCAACCCCCGGTCCGGTGTTACTGCCGGGCCGCAAAATAGCTGTGAGTTTATCGTAATATTTGCAGAATTATAAATATATCAAAATATTTTATCATAATATTTTTTTCAAAAAGTGTTTAATTTTTGCACCTATGCCACCAGTCATATTATTTCATCCAGTAGCTAGTTAATCTTTCACCAGAAAACTGTTGAAAATGGCTTTTATGATGTTCCGAGGGATTCGGCGGCTCAGCCTAAGGTCTCAGCCTCTTGTGCGCACGAGCATGTTACCGGTGCGCCAAGTAGGAAGAGGAGCGCACAGGAGACAACCGTTTGATTGCAGACTGTTATGTTTATGTGGGGAAATGGTGGTGCATACATTATTTGAGATATATTTCAAACTCTGACTTCATTTTAAGGACATGTCGGCCAGGGGTGTAGAGCTATTTGTTTAAGCACCGGATTGGCAAAACAGGAGAGTAAACCAGTCTGCCTTGATCTATGAATTCATGTCCGGGACTCTCACGGTATCTGCTGCCCGCAGCTGCTTTATAGAAGGAAACCCTCCTTCACTTCATGAAATGGCTGCAGCATCAGGAGGCAGCGGGACGTATACTCCGCCTCTGAGAAGTGCAGCACCAGCGGGTAAAGAGCTGTGCCTTTTTACGCACCGCATTCGCTGTGTTTAACTTCATCAGAACAGCTTAAGAGTGACTGCAGGCTGCTACGTGTTAACCACACACACCTCTACACACATCTCTACACACATCGAACTGCCCGATTACTCCCCCTTTTATTAGTTTTATGAAGGAGATGTCCAGTCAGTCACCAAGGCGCATGATGTGTGTGTGTATGTGCTCTGCTCAGCTCAGCTCTGTGTGTTCGGTGTGTTTGTGTCTGTCCGACACCGGCATTTGTTTTCAAATGTTTATGAACAGTAATTTACACACATATGGCTAACTCCATATATGCAGCTGTTCCCAAAATAAATTAGTTTAATCTTAATCTCGATGTAGTGCTAAATGCTGTCGGAGTGCACCGGAACGAACAACACTATTATAATATCTTCTGAAAACAAATGCCAGTGTCACACACACACACACACACACACACACACACACACACACACACACACACACACACACACACACACACACACACACACACACACACACACACACACACACACACACACACCCACCCTGGCGACCGGACATCTCCTTCATAATGCGCCTTCTCCTCGTTTTCCCAGCATTCACTGGATTATCCGTAAATCATACAAACAAAACCAAAACGTTGATTTATCTGTTTTCCCGTTTTGGTTTAAAAACTGAATAACGTCGTTTTTTTGGTTTTCCGAAAAACCAAAAAAAACAACACCGGTTCTTTTTTAAACTTTGTTAATATGTTTTGGATGCATATTGTTTTAGTATTTGTTCAGGCTGTTACATACAATTAGCCTCTGTTGCTACCTGCTGGTGGTGAGTAAATATTAAAATCAGTTAAAATTGACAACCGGTCCGCGATTTTTTTTTTATGTATCTGCCGGTCCTTGGCACAATAAAGGTTGGGAACCCCTGGTCTTGAGGACACATGGTGTTACACACAGGACGGGCTAGCATGTTAAATCCAGTAGACTTCTCTGGACCACAATACATAGACGTCTATTTCGTAAAACTGTAACCTCTTCACATGTTGATAATGTTAATTTATTTTGTGAATATTTAAACTTTAATTCTGGCCATATCTTACATATTGCCTTTTAACCCTGTAAGGCCCCCGGTTGTAATTTTCCAACATTACTTTAAGCTATCCTAAAAAAGTCAGTAAATGTTTTGTTTTTTTAAAAGACTACATTTACATAGTCAAAAGGTCCTTTTGTTCAGCCTCACAATGCTATTGGGTAGTAAATGTGTTTATTGAAGATTGAAGATTCAACTTATTGTCATTACGTAGTACAGGTACTATGTAACGAAACGGTTTCTCTGCATTTGACCCATCCTAGTGTTAGGAGCAGTGGGCTGCCATTATGTAGGTCCTGCCCTCTGGCCATACACTCACACAACTTCCCAATCTTCAAACTTCAACATCTCTTTGTTTTATTGGACTGGATTTTTCAGATTCAAGTAAGTAAAATGCCTCAAATATTTTTTTGGGTGATTATTACAATGTCTAGAACATGTACATATTCAGTTTTTGTGAAATACATTCATCAAATTTGATTTTGAGCAGCTTATGTCTTTGTTGCAATATTACATACCTGGGTCAGTGTGGTAGTCAAAATAGCATGTGCACCTTACACATGGACATTTCCCTTCTTATATTTTCACATATGGAAATAAAACACTAATAGAAATACAATGTCTTTGATAATTCACTATAACTAAGTTCTAAATGTGTCCTCTGTTAAGATGTTGAATTAAGACCAGAATTGAATAAATTAATACATTATTTCTGATAGCAGTATGTGAAATTATATCTGTAAAAATATTTTAAACTCTACTTGTGTCTTATTAGTTAATGAGTTACAAAAATACATTTAACTCTGGTTCTGGCAGAAACAGTTCTTTCTGAGAAGTGTTGGGACACTTGGATGTATCCCTTTTAGTATGATAATTAGCCTGTTATCATCATCAGACAGCATTGTGTGACTTGTTGAACTGGTCTATCTGCATGTGTCGGTGTAGGTATTCCTTTTATTAGGATAATAGGCTAAGCCAGGTAGTATTGTGTGACTCAAGTGTATAATGTAAATAGGATTCAGATGCTTGTTGCATCGGGACACCTGGAAGGGGGTGGTGCATGCATTCATTTTAGTATGATAAGAGGCTAAGCCAGACAGAATGAACACGTGTCCCACCACCCTATCTATTCCTTCAGGTAATCTATTACAATATAATAAGCATATGTATATTGATACATATTTATTCATTCATTTTTCCATTTCAGAATGCCACCAGCAAAGAGAGGTCCTCGATTCAGTGTGCAGGATGTGATGCCATCCAAAAAGGAGAGTGATTTTGAGATGGAATCAGAGGACAGTGACACTGCTATGAGTGAAGAAGAGGCAGATGCCTGTGGACAAGTGGACAAAGAAAACCAACAACCCAATGACCCCCCAGTCAGTGATTATGTGGACATCGAGCCCCAACCAAATAAACACACCAAGCCCTGTGACAGGTATCGCTGGCTGAAAAAATATTTTATCAGTCCCAATACTGATTTTTCTGGTCCAGATATCACAGAGGATGTCATTTGCAGGTACACAAACACGCAATGCAGCAAGTGTGACGTCCGTCTGTGCTTTTCTGACGACAGGAACTGTTTTTGGGACTACCATTGTATTCATATTTAATAAATGACTATTCATAACAAATATGACTGATGTGTGATTATTATTCATGCTATATACTGATATAGGGCTAAGTAAGCAATCAATCCTACAAATGAACCCTTAGTTGTTCAATATATTTATTCAGACAATGTGAGTAGAAATACAGAAATTCTGCTCCCACCTAAGGCCAACGTTGCAATATTACAAAATGTCCCTAAAAACTTAAACGTAAACCATTTGAAAACTCTTTTATTTCTGCTCCAGAGGCTCCCTACAACAACATCTGAAAGGTCAACCAATTCTAATGTTTTTCTATATTTGGGCTTTACAGGGTTAAAGGTCAGTCCACCTTCAGAGGCTACACTCGGCATCTCCCTGTCTTCTTTCACCATTTGCATCGAGGCAGAAGTTACTATGATGACAGGGGATGTGCTTTTATTTTATTTGACAAGTTGCAGGTTAATTATTATTTTAAAGTTCTAAAAATATTTCGTTTTTAAAGCCAAATCTTTTTAGTTTTGAACAGCTTCCTGCTGCTGCTCATGGAAACAATGCTAATGTTAGCAGTAATGCTGGGAGCCTAAAGATCAAAACAATGAGCGGAAACTTAGAAATGATAAGATTAGGTACTTTTTTGTCCCAGGGAGCTACTGTTCAACAGCTGCATTAAACCTAAAACATATTGTGGCCAAAGGCCCATTAAAATAACATTTAGAGAAGAAAATATTTAAATATTGCACATGACTTGCAAGATGAATCATGAATCATTTACATGTGCGGTTACAAAATGACAGATATAGTTCTAGTTTTGTTAGGGTATTCCTACCTTGGAGAATAACCCTGCAGGCTGTGTGTCACTCTGTCTCACTCCCTGGTGTTTGTGCTCTGCTCTCTTACAGTGTCTTGAAGCATTCTGTGGACGCTACCTTTGAAGACAAGGGCCCCAGTCCAGGCTACAGGATAGAAATGTCCATCTTCTATGTGGTGTATTTCGTGGTCTTTCCTTTCTTTTTTGTCAACATCTTCGTTGCTCTGATCATCATCACCTTCCAGGAGCAGGGAGACAAGGCCATGTCTGAGTGCAGCTTGGAAAAGAACGAGGTAAAGCAGAAAGACGATGTCATCTGGACAGTCTAAATCCAGTCTGAATCCAGTCTGAATCCAGTCTGAATCCAGTCTGAATCCAGTCTGAATCCAGTCTGAATCCAGTCTGAATCCAGTCTGAATCCCGCACACACTGCTGTAATCACTATCTCCATCATCAGGTTTACCCAATTTAGCCTTTTTGTTTGCTGGATATTCTCAAATGTTATGAACAGATTTTCTTAAAACATTGAAGAAAGGCTTGTGATAAAGCAGCCTGAGGAGCTCATATATACTGAGGGAAAACCAACATGTCTTAAAAATGTTTGCAGACAAAGGTTTTGCTTATTGGTTTTATGGAGGTGTGATAAGTGTGTGTATTAGAGAGAATGTAGAATTACCTCATTTTTAAATGTTGACACTGAGCACATTTATTTTAGTACAGCACAGTGAAAACACATTGATAAAGCCATGTAAGAAATTCTCGTTCAATTTTGTGAACTGAAAAAAAAAAGCAGCTGGGACCAGAATGTTTGTTCGCTTATTGGTAATCAACCAAGACTGGGGTTTGCCAGCAGATGCTTTCACCTCACACAGACAGTGAAGCAGAGCTGTGCTTTCTCTGTTACAGAGGGCTTGTATTGACTTTGCCATAAATGCCAAACCTCTGACCCGCTACATGCCCCAGAACACACAGTCCTTCCAGTACAGGATGTGGAAGTTTGTGGTCTCACCTCCATTTGAGTACTCCATCATGATCATGATTGCCCTCAACACTGTGGTGCTTATGATGAAGGTAAGAACTTATGAGGGGGATATTACCAACATAATGCTAAATATATGTCGTTTGTTAGGCCTTTTTGAATGTTATATGGAGTCAGTCCTGGATTCAGTAGCTCATGAAAGTCACATCTTGACACTTTGAGACATATGCTAAGTTTGTTTCCTGATACCTTTCTCACGTCTGTACAGTAAATATGAAGCAATTGCCAGAAGCTATTTCATTAGCATAACGCCTGGAGGAAACAGCTAGCCAGGCTCTGTATAAAGGTAAAAACATGTTTAAAACCTAGAATGAGATGATGGCCATCCACATGCTTGCTGTAGCTTCATACAGTATGCACTGAACAAACTGAAACAATGACTTCAATTAAATGTATTCTGTCAACACATTTCGCACAACTGTATTAGGTTAGTTGAAAGCAATAATATTAAGTTGAACCTAATATGTTTTGTTTAAACATTATATTATTGCTTTCAAAACTCTGTTGACATAATACATTTAATTAAAGTCTACATTTAGGTTTTTCAGTGAGGGAACTGGGATCAGTGTGGTGTTCATTACCTTGCTCAAGGGCACCATTGCAGTGCCTACGACGTGAACCGGCACCTCTCAAAGTACCGGTTCACACCAAATAAGAATTTTCCAAAATGCCAAAACAATAAATTAAAAATATTACTCCAACATGTTAGCAAGATAACTTTATATGACGTTGTCTTTCAGTTCCATGGAGCTCCAGACTTTTATGAAGCGATGCTCAAGAACCTCAACATCGTCTTCACCACTCTCTTTTCTCTGGAGTGTATCCTCAAGATCATTGCTTTTGGTCCATTGGTGGGTAATATCAATGAAACAACGTTACAAACTCTGAGTAATGAATCACAACTAATGATTTTCAACTTTTGCTTCTCAGAACTACCTAAAGGATGCCTGGAACGTGTTTGACTTTGTCACAGTGTTGGGCAGCATCACTGACATCCTGGTGACTGAAATCAATGTAAGAGCAGCCCCCCCCCCCCCCCCCCGCTCCACCCTCACCTCATAAGGCTTAATACATTGTAGTCATACAACATCGCTGTCATGGTAACGAGCTGGGGCAGGGAAGCCTGTTCAGCAAGCTTTGTGCAAACAAGCTAACTAGCCATATCTGCAATAACTGACATGGCAGCGGTCCAACAGCCTTAAAGCGCAGAGAGGACAGGACGTGAGTGTTTTGTGGGTAAGGTGGATTGATCATAGAGGGCACATAAAAAAGCTGTGGCTCGACGGCTTCTTTGAATCCATCTCTGAGTGTAACTTTTGAGTGGTGAACAGCAGAGCTATACTCTCCTATCCTGCTGGGGACTGCCTTTTATTCCAACGGCCCATTTTTCTGAAACCCCAATAATTAGAAAAAAATCCTGTTTGTTCAGCAGCCCGTTATCCAGAAAACAGATGCCCATTGTTCCAAAGACCACAAACAAACAGTAGTGACTTGTTATTATGCGAATTGACTGAAGTTTTTTCATATTAAGGCGAATTACATAATGGGAAAAATGCCACCCTACAAAGTCCCTATAGCCTCTGATTGGCTAGGCACTTTGTCGGTTGAGTTAGTATAGTTTGGTTATGTGCAGGGTAAAACATCTGGGGAGGACAACAAGAAGCAGAGTTGGGCAGTGCAAGGAAAATAATATCAATATTGGATCAGGAAAGTCTGGTGACGTCATGCCACCTGCAATCCTTCTCTTGTGATGGAGTGTTTGTTTCAGTGCGGTGTGTAAGCAGAGCTATCAGGCCTTGGGAGCAATGGTCGGTTGCTTTAGTTGCTGTCACATGAATGCACTTTGTTCTTTGATAGCCTTGTTATCTTTCCAGACACTCTGTGGACCTGCATACATGTGTGTACTGTGAAGTAGCTTCTGACTGATTTACATGTGTGTATTTGGTGAGCTGTATCAGTTTATTTTGGGCAATATGACTGTTCCTGTTCTCCCGCCTCTCCGTCCTCTCTCCTCACCTCCCTCTGGTATCTGTCTGTCTGTCTGTCTGTCTGTCTGTCTGTCTGTCTGTCTGTCTGTCTGTCTGTCTGTCTGTCTGTCTGTCTGTCTGTCTGTATGTCTGTCTGTCTGTCTCTCTCTCTCTCTCTCTCTCTCCTCTCTCTCTCTCTCTCCTCTCTCTCTCTCTCCTCTCTCTCTCTCCTCTCTCTCCTCTCTCTCTCTCTCTCTCTCTCTCTCTCTCGCTCTACGTTTCCATCTTGTCGACTGTCCTCCCTGGTGATGCCATGCCCTGGTCCCAAACATCACTAGACTACGGTGAGTGACTTTGCCTGCTCTTAGCTTGCCTTCTTTCTTATTTAATATATAAACAAGATATGATATGATCTATAGATCAGGCTATGGATGATACATGAACAAACCTCTCTGTGTAAACCATCAGAATATAGATAGTGATTGGACTGGAACAGTAAGTGCTACTGAAGCAGAGAATTCAGACTCAGGATTTTGAGAAGACAGCCTTTAAACATATGAAATGTAGACACTGCAGGTGCATTTTTAACTAATATCTGTTGATATGGAAAATCCCCAGATTCCATGCCTGAGGGGGCTTTATTCCCTATTGTGTCAGTCTTTCTACAACAGGAAGTGAATTGACTTATTAATATATTTTGTCAAGACATCATTGCAAAGATAAAAAGGTGTCTTGCAAACCTGTCTTTCTGTTATCATGCATTTCTGATGACATCAGAGGGGTTACCTTCTCAGACTGGACAAAGCTCCTCCAGCTTCTGATGTTCAAATGCACCTTGAGGCCCAAAGCAGGAGATGGTTTGTTTCTCCTCATATCCTTGAGTGTCCAGTTAGAAGAATAGAACATCGGATGTGCTCTGTGTGTAGTGTAGATGTATGTCTGCCCTGTTTCACAATAAAGGAAAGACTCACAAAGTTTGGTAAGAAATCCCTTTTTGTTTCCACAGACTGTTTCTTTTGTGATGTTACAAGGAAGTAACATCAAGCTGAAATCTTAAACTTAAAAGAATAGAAGATTTTATTTCCAATCACGTACATTGAAATGTCTTTAAGGAGTGATCTCTGGGCCATGATACAGATTTATATCAGCTCCTGGAAAACTGTAGACCTTTGCCCGTGCACAACATGTAACTGTTCATACCTTTTCCAAAATAGAGAGTCAGGATTGGTAAATTGAGAAGGCTTTCTCTACCCATGACCCAGAATATTGTAGAATCATAGTTCTGATGAGTAATGACTGAACAGATAACCAGCTAAGGTGACTTGAATAAGCCCTGGTAAGGCTGTGTTCAATGAGGGTTCCTGGTATGTGGTTGATAATGGTTTGATGTCGTCTTTCTAACAGGACAGGCTGCTGAACCTGAGCTTCCTGAGGCTGTTCAGAGCGGCCCGGCTCATCAAGCTGCTGAGACAGGGCTACACCATCCGCATCCTGCTCTGGACCTTTGTCCAGTCCTTCAAGGTGCTCACACACCTGCACTTTTACACATTCACACACTCACATAAGGAAAAATACATAAGGAAAATACATTTCATAGCAAAGTGCGGGTCGTCGTATGAAGGAGGTAAGAACAGGGTTGGTGGATGGGTCAAACAAACACAGGACATTTTCACTGTTCATGTCTCATGTGAAACCAAAAGTCAACATTGACTTCTTTTTTAAGTTCTCTTTTGAGAATTTTAACACATTTGAGAATGCATATTTGCTGTATGGGAACATTGTTTTTAAGAGACAGGTTGTGTTGTCAGGCCTATGTGTGTTTGTGAAATAATAATGGAGGGATATTAAAGTAATGTGTCTTCTTTTACTGCACTCAAAGATTCTTGTCTGGAATGTGTAAATGTGTTCTTGTTTCCTGTTTCCTGTTTGCTTTCCCCCAGGCCCTGCCTTATGTTTGCCTTCTGATTGCTATGCTGTTCTTCATCTATGCCATCATTGGGATGCAGGTGGGTGATGCTGTGCTCGCGGAGGTCATGATATTCATGTTGTGGTTTACCATTCCTAATAAAAAAAAGAAAGGAAAACAGTCCATATCCATTTCCCTCACTGTCTCTGCTGTAGGTGTTTGGCAACATTGCGATGAATGAGGACACAGCCATTAATCACCACAACAACTTCCGCACTTTTCTCCAAGCTCTCATGCTGCTGTTCAGGTATAACAAGCTTTATTATAATTTACGTATATATCATAAGCACTTTGGATAACTTTTACACTTATGGACAGTTTATGAAGACATTTACACTTGCACTAAATATACTTAGTTAAGAATCAACTATGTCAAATATGTACGACCGAGTATAAAGACTTTTACCCATATACAGTATGTATAATCATAATGAGATTATCACTACTGATCCACTCATAGGTAAGAACATTTTAATCTTGTGGCTTTAACGCAATGGCTAGTTGAAGCCAATTCGACAAAACTGACTGTTAAGATCTTGTGCAATAAACATGCGATGTGCAATATAAACACTTACAGTACCAGTCAAAAGTTTGGACATACCTTCAAATTTGAAGTTATTTATTTTAAATGTTTCTTCATTGTAGATTTATACTTCAAAACTATGAAAGAACACATATGGAATTATCTAGTAAACAAAAAAGTGTGAACAAATCCAGAATATGATTTATATTTAGCTGGCTACTGCAGAATGCTGTGGTAGCCATGCTGGTTAAGTGAGCCTTGAGTCTTGAATAAATCACCAACAGTGTCACCAGAAAAGCCCCCCCACACCATCACACTTCCTCCTTCATGCTTCACGGTGGGAGCCACACATGCAGAAACCATCCGCTCACCTTCTCTGCGTCTCACAAAGACACGGAGGTTGGTACCAAAAATCGCAAATTTGGACCCATCAGACCAAAGTGCAGTTTACACTGTCTAATATCCAATCCTTGTGTTTCTTGGCCAAAACAATTATCTTATTCTTTCTGTTCATCCTCAGTAGTGGATCTTTGCAGCGATTGGACCATGAAGGCCTGATTCACGCAGTCTCCTCTGAACAGTGGATGTTGAGATTATCTGCTGCTTGAGCTCTGTGATCATTTATGTGGGCTCTAATCTGAGGTGCTTTGATTTGCAGTTTCTGAGGCTGTAACTCTTATGTATTTATCCTCTGAGCAGAGGTAACTCTGATGTATTTATCCTCTGAGCAGAGGTAACTCTGATGTATTTATCCTCTGAGCAGAAGTAACTCTTATGTATTTATCCTCTGAGCAGAGGTAACTCTGATGTATTTATCCTCTGAGTAGAGGTAACTCTGATGTATTTATCCTCTGAGCAGAGGTAACTCTGATGTATTTATCCTCTGAGCAGAAGTAACTCTTATGTATTTATCCTCTGAGCAGAGGTAACTCTGATGTATTTATCCTCTGAGCAGAGGTAACTCTGATGTATTTATCCTCTGAGCAGAGGTAACTCTGATGTATTTATCCTCTGAGCAGAGGTAACTCTGATGTATTTATCCTCTGAGCAGAGGTAACTCTTGCTCTTCCTTTCCCGAGGGGGGGGTCCTCATGAGAGCCAGTTTCATCATACCGTTCAACGGTTTTTGCGACTGCACTTGAGGATACATTCAAAGTTCTTGACATTTTCCGGATCGACTGGCCTTCATTTCTTAAAGTGATGATGGACGGTCGCTTCTCTTTACTGAGTTGAGTGGTTCTTGCCATAATATGGATTACAACAGTAGTCAAATAGGGCTTTCCACTGTGCACTAACCCTACCTCTGCACAACACAACTGATGCTCTCAAACACATTCAGAAGGCAAGTCATTCCACAAATGGACTCTTGACAAGGCACACGTGTTCATTGAAAACCATTCCAGGTGACGACCTCATGAGAGTAGCCAAGAGTGTGCAAAGCTGTCATCAAGGCAAAACGGGGCTACTTTGAAGAATCTAAAATAAAAATCATATTCTGGATTTGCTAACACTAGATAATTCAATATGTGTTCTTTCATAGTTTTGATGTCATTAGTATTAATCTACAAAGTAGAACAAATTAAAATAAATAAAAAACTTTGAATTTGAAGGTGTGTCCAAACCTTTGACTGGTAGTGTATTTGCAATTGTACTGGTGCTATAATCACTTTATGTGAAAAATGCACCTTTCATAAATGTCCCCAAACTTTTTCAAGGTCACAATACTTAATATGTTATTTATGTCACTTAGTTTTACTTAAATTGCTGCTACACATTTTTTAGCCATGGTTGTGTACTTGTTTTTATTTACTAATGTCTGCTATTCTTATTGATTATTGAATGCCTTTTTTTTTACCTGCCTTATCCCTTTGCTGTAATACTGTAAATGTACCCGCTGTGGGACTATTAAAGGAATTGCGATTCTGAATTTGAACTACTTCTCATTCTACATTATAATGTCTGTTTAATATCCGTGGAGCTGTAGCTTAAAGTGATAAAAAATGCTGCCAGCCATGTATTTCTCTTCAGGTATAGTCTGTCTCTCTCTCTGCCTCTGTTCTATCAGGAGTGCAACTGGTGAGGCCTGGCACGAGATCATGTTGTCATGTCTGAGTCACCGAGCCTGTGACGAGCGATCCGGCTCCCAGGGGAAAGAGTGCGGCAGTGATTTTGCTTACTTCTACTTTGTCTCCTTCATCTTTCTCTGCTCCTTCCTGGTTAGTCTGAAGTCTGCCAGAGCATTACATTCAGATGTGACATGTTGGCTTTGCAGGAAGCTCACATTGATTTCATCCCTAGGTCAATAAACCTACTTAGGTTTTAAACCTGATTCTGATTCTTCAAGAACTAGCGTGATGACGAAGTTGATTGCTTATTTATTCAGTTCATTCAGTTTCTGTTAAAGTGACATATCTGTATCAGAATCCCTTCTTTGGGTTAGGCCGTTCCTCTTTATTGACTCAGTTTATATACTGACAGAGCAGGGTGGTTGTTGTCTTTAGTCACTCACACACAAAAACATGAGGAAATTGTTGAAATATACTGTTGGTTTCAGATGCTGCTGTTACCTGGTCGAACACAGGAGTAACTGTGCTTTGTGTTTTGCAGATGCTGAACCTGTTTGTGGCTGTGATAATGGATAACTTTGAGTACCTAACCAGAGACTCCTCCATCCTGGGGCCTCATCACCTCGATGAGTTCATCCGGGTGTGGGCCGAGTACGACCCGGCTGCATGGTATGTTCACGCCTCCCTCTGGGCCCCCGAGAGTAGCATACAAAGTAGAGTGGGGGGAACAGATACCCTAACTTTACTCCTATCTTTCCCCTTTGTTACCAAGGTTACTAAATGCGGCCTTGTGCAGAAGCCTTGTTCCTATAGCTTGTTGTATGCAGTCAGCCCGATAATTATTCATTTAATGCTGTCTTGAACGTTTGTTTATTTATGTGCTTGTTCTTCTCCACAGCGGACGGATTTCCTATAAGGATATGTACAATTTGTTACGAATTATCTCACCCCCCCTTGGCTTAGGGAAGAACTGCCCTAATAGGGTAGCATACAAGGTTTGCAAATACCTGACATTTCCGTCACTAGGGTGCTTTGTGTACTTCTAAGCCAAGAGACTTCAAACTGACTGGCTTTGGTTAATAATGCCGGAGTGGAAACAAAGCTTTCAAAGCCACAGCAAACGTATACAGCACACACATTTGAATAATCAGCATCAAAGTACTGATCACTAGTTTCAGGACATGTGTATACAACGTGTAAAACATCGAGGCATATTTGTTATATGAAAAAAGACTTGACTCAATCTTAAAAAATATGAATAAGGTCCAAAGCCTGATGAAGGATTTAATATTTTGATGGAGACATCTCTGCCTCAGACCTATCTTGTGCTGGCATTGAAACCTTTGTCTCCGTGCACCCTGGTTCCAGTGGAATGTCTGCTGGCATGCTGAGGCAGACATCCCGTTACAATGCTGTCATTTCTCTTCCCTCCCATCAGCATTCTGTGTGTTGGGTAAACCCATCGTCCCTTCTTCTCTCCCCCCTCCCCTTTCCCACCAAACTCACTCTTTACCACTCCATGTTTCCTGTCAGGGATCCTGAGCTCCACAGCGATGCATCCCTGTGCCCCGCCACCGCGGCCGAGGATGACATCCATCTTCCATCTCACCCTAGGAAATCTACTAACACAGATTTCTGTTTCTCCTTTCCATTATGCTCCCGTTCTTTTGTTCTTCCTCCTTGGTTCCTCACCTCCTTCTCTAACTCCCCATCCTTCTCTGTTTGCGTTTTGTTTATTTCTGATTTCCTACCCTGTCAAGTGGCCGTATCAAGTACCTCGATATGTATCAGATGCTGCTCCACATGTCCCCACCGTTAGGTTTGGGAAAGAAATGTCCGCCAAGAGTCGCCTACAAGGTAGACCCTCACCCTCCTCCACCTTCTCTCCTGTGCTCCACAGTCTTTCTCTCATTGGCGTGAACTCAAGCCAACGTCTGTGCTCTGCAGTGTTCCCTCCTCTCTTCACTTTGTTTTGCTAGTGCGCTGATATTTTTGGTGTAAGCCCCTACCTCATCTTTACTGTCTGTACTCTTTCTTTCTGTGGGCTAAGACCCATCTCCAATGATAACAGAGCTTAAGACATACAGTTATTTTAATCAACATACCTATACTTAATTATGCAGGATTCTTTCTCCCTTTTGTTGTAATATTATTATTTCCTTTGAATGGGACGCCCCGGTTTGACTCTTTGGAGCAGTGGGTGTGGGTGTGTGTGTGTGTTACTGTGAGGCTGTGTGTGTGTGTGTGTGTGTGTGTGTGTGTGTGTGTGTGTGTGTGTGTGTGTGTGTGTGTGTGTGTGTGTGTTACTGTGAGGCTGTGTGTGTGTGTGTGTGTGTGTGTGTGTGTGTTACTGTGAGGCTGTGTGTGTGTGTGTGTGTGTGTGTGTGTGTGTGTGTGTGTGTTACTGTGAGGCTGTGTGTGTGTGTGTGTGTGTGTGTGTGTGTTACTGTGAGGCTGTGTGTGTGTGTGTGTGTGTGTGTGTGTTACTGTGAGGCTGTGTGTGTGTGTGTTACTGTGAGGCTGTGTGTGTGTGTGTGTGTGTGTGTGTGTGTGTGTGTGTGTGTGTGTGTGTGTGTGTGTGTGTGTGTGTGTGTGTTACTGTGAGGCTGTGTGTGTGTGTGTGTGTGTGTGTGTGTGTGTGTGTGTGTGTGTGTGTGTGTTACTGTGAGGCTGTGTGTGTGTGTGTTGTGTGTGTGTGTGTGTGTGTGTGTGTGTGTGTGTGTGTGTGTGTGTGTGTGTGTGAGCTCTTGTTTGTGTAGCTTCTGTTGCTTTTCTGTGGGAGTAATACTATGCTTCTCACTTTATGATTCTGTCTTTGCTGCCCATCCCCTTTTTCTCTCATCTCATCTCAGTCTATCCACTGTTGGAAATATTTGTGTGTGTTTGTCTGTGCGTGTGTATTTATTTTAAGATAAATATTGATTAGGATGGCATTTCCAGCTGATAAAGCAGTTGGTGGGATCTGTATCTGGATGGCTTATGCAGAAGGGCCAAACACTATAATTTGTCAAATATCCACTTGAGTCTGGCTCGAATAAGGAGCAATCTCCATCGACCCCTAATGTGCCCAGATCCCAGTAGAATAGAGACAATTGCTTCAGGTTGGAGCCCCCTCTTTATACTTGAGTTTGAGTTGAGTTGAATTGAGTTTTACAACCAGACTTTCATTCAAGTCAAAACAATAACAGACGACTTTGATGGCACAGTGAGGAGCATGGGATTATGGGAATATGTATTTGCTTTTCCTGGTCAAGATTCCTTCAGTGTTTCTTTCCCACAGAGTCAGTTTCACGTTTAATATCACTCTTTCCAGATGTCTGATGACTCAAATCCTGTACTGTTATTTTACAGTTAAAAACTATGTGTATCCAAAAATTGTGGCTTAAAACTTCTGGCAGACAACTACAACGTTGCATGCTAGGGGGTGTGACGCCACACAGGCACCCAGATTAAATGCAATATTGATTCATGTTAGAGAATTATCTAGGTTTTAAAAATGGTAGTAAACATTACGTTTAATGTGTAATATATTAACAACTCAATAGAATATAACCGGTCTAGTCGTTTTGACCCTTTTAAACTGTAAATGAAACAAATTTCCACATGTTTTGTTGAAATCTGCCATGTTGATTGACATTGCACCAGCTGATAATGCATGTTGATCTACTTGACCCCATTTTTGCATATCTTCTTTGAGGCTTTAAAAATGATTGATATTTAAATCAAATATAGCTTCTCAATTGCTTTAAATGTTAAACACTTGCAGCATAGGAACTGTTCTCCTTCTGTTCTACTAACTGTTCTCCTGTCTGTATAATTGATTGTGCAGCATGTAGTTGTTTGTGCGTTTAGGTGAATGACAGACCACATGCATATTTGTGTGTGTGTGTGTGTGTGTGTGTGTGTGTGTGTGTGTGTGTGTGTGTGTGTGTGTGTGTGTGTGTGTGTGTGTGTGTGTGTGTGTGTGTGTGTGTGTGTGTGTGTGTGTGTGTGTGTGTGTGTGTGTGTGTGTGTGTGTGTGCTCATGCTCCTCAGCTCTCCACCCCCATCTCTTTCTGACTATGGTCTGTCTTACTCTCTGCACTGCCACTGATAGCACGTGTAGGTGAATGCTTGTTGTGTCCAGGGGAGCTCAACTCTAACACAAACAATCCAATAGCATTGTGTATGCATCTCGTGGTGCATTAGTCCTATACGAACAAAGTATTGCTTCTAAGGCTGCCCAGGCTTGGTGGAATACATACTCTTTATGTAGCATACTGTGCCACAGTACAAGTAGAGCATACTCAACCCTCTCAACTCTAAGTTGATGACTGCTAGGATAGCAACCAGAGTCGAGCTCCTGCGACTGTCCAGGCAACTTCATGGTTATGCGTTACATGCCTACTCTCACCTTTATTTCGGTCAATATCAGTCTTGCACCAGTGCACTTTGACTTGCAGCGTAGTGCATACTGTAGCAAATAGCAGTGAATGTGAATGTCTAGTTTGTCACCTCTGTACGTTCTTGTAGAGAAGGCCTTTTGTGTGCTGTCTCAGTAACGTTTGATCTATTACCAATCTTGTACACATTCAACAAAATGTAGCAAGTCACCTTTAAGGTACTTTATGCTAACAGAGTGAATCCATGGCGGGTATTGAAGGGCAGCAGCACACAGACTGCTTTCTCTGGGTGAGCTGTATGTTCTGCTGGGGCTGTCTGCTATCACTCAGTCATCTAAAGTCTCTCTGTCACAACTCGTCTCCTCTCCTCAGCGCCTTGTCAAAATGAACATGCCCATCGCCGAGGACAACAGCGTCCACTTCACCTCCACCCTGATGGCCCTCATCCGCACTGCCCTGGAGATCAAACTGGCCTCAGGTTAGAAAACCACACCACACTATCATGTGGCTAGAATAGAGAATTGTATGACATCCTCTATGGTTTCCACTCGAGATAAGACATAATATGAATCATGTTAACCTTGCATCCCTCTGACCTTTGGTTTGAGAAACAAAAATACTGAAGTAGCCATTTCAGAGTCTCCATGCCATCACAGCAAATACAGGACAGTCTAACAAGTCTGAACACACAAAGCATTTTCTGCTGACTTCTGTTGGTGCCTTTCCATTCATCTGTTTAAATGCACATGTGAAGTTCAAATGCAAAAACTCCAGAACTGCACTTAAAAAACTATATTAATTAAGCAGATGTCACATACCTGTATTAGGTTAGTTAAGCAATAATATTATTATTGCTTTTAACTAACCTACATTTGATTAAAGTCAACCTTTCAGTTTTTTTGGTGTGGAAATAAGTAAATGTGACCTCCATTTGAACTCATTGGAAGGCTGTGTGTTCCTGATCAGATCTGGGTCTTGTTTCCTGCCTTCACTGCATCTATCTGCACTTCTGATGGAGAGTTCTCATTTCACATCTCAGGAACGCATTAAGTGCTCTGTTTCATAAATGTAGTTGGAAGATGATCATTTTTTCTGTCTCTCCTTCCCTCCCTTTTTTATTACAACACTGTATACGGTGCTGTGGCTGGCAGTTGATGTGTTTTAATGAAAAGGTTCAAAGTGTGTCTCTGTGTATCTCCAGGCATGGTAGCCCAGCGACTCTCTGACGCTGAGTTAAAGAAGGAGCTGTCCACAGTGTGGCCCAGCCTCTCTCAGAAGACCATGGATCTGCTGGTGACCCCACACACAGGTAAGCCTCTCACCAACATCACATTCTGAACCCTCACACACTCTCCTTGTTCCAACCTGAAGGCAGTGATCTGGTGGGAGACACATTGTTTCAAATATAGGCTAAAGTCTGAGTGTGTAAGTGTATTTTTACTATGAGATGTTTTATAGATGTGTGTGTGAGGGCATGCCTGTAGACACAACTTACTCTGCCGTTTTGCATCCACCTTTTGGTAAGAAGTGTTCTCCACCAAACTCACACACAGATCCATTTCCCTACAGTTCTGTCAATGCGTTGTTTCCCCTAAAAATCTATTTGAATTGCTTTCTGCGAATGAATCATACCACTCACTGTACAGAGTAATACAGTGAGTAATACAAATGTCCTTTATCTTATGTAAACCACTAGAGAGAGCACAGGGTACATAGAAATGAATTGTGGAGTAAGGAATGACTCAGCACATTTTCTCTCTCATTTTGATTCTTTAGTCCTCTCCTCTCCTCTCCTGTTCTCCTCTCCTCTCCTCTCCTCCCCTGTTCTCCTCTCCTCTCCTGTTCTCCTCTCCTCTCCTGTTCTCCTCTCCTCTCCTCTCCTCCCCTGTTCTCCTCTCCTCTCCTCTCCTCTCCTCTCCTCTCCTCCCCTGTTCTCCTCTCCTCTCCTCTCCTCTCCTGTTCTCCTCTCCTGTTCTCCTCTCCTCTCCTGCCCTGTTCTCCTCTCCTCTCCTCCCCTGTTCTCTCCTCCCCTGTCCTCTCCTCTCCTCTCCTCTCCTCTCCTCTCCTCTCCTCTCCTCTCCTCTCCTCTCCTCTCCTCTCCTCTCCTCTCCTGCCCTGTTCTCCTCTCCTCTCCTCCCCTGTTCTCTCCTCTCCTCTCCTCTCCTCTCCTCTCCTCTCCTCTCCTCTCCGTTCTCTACTCCTTTCTCCTCTCCTTCTCCTCCCTGTTCTCCTCTCCTCTCCTCCCTGTTCTCGTCTCCTTCCTCTTCCTCTCCTCTCTCCCTCCTCTCCCTCCTTTCTCTCTCCTCTCCTGTTCTCCTCTCCTCTCCTCTTCTCATCCGCTCCCTCTCCTCTCCTTCTCTCCTCTCCTTTCTCCTCTCCTCTCCTCTCCTCTCCTCTCCTCTCGCGTCTGCCTCTGCCCTCCTCTCCTGTTTCTCCTCGTCCTTTTCTTTCCTCTCGCTCTCCTTCCCTGTTCTCCTCATCCTCTCCTCGCCCTTTCTCCCCTCCTCCCCCTTTCCTTCTCATCTCCTCGCCTCTCCTCTCCTCTCCTCTCCTCTCCTGCCCTGTTCTCCTCTCCTCTCCTCCCCTCTCCTCTCCTCCCCTGTCCTCTCCTCTCCTCTCATCTCCTCTCCTCTCCTGCCCTGTTCTCCTCTCCTCCCCTGTTCTCTCCTCCCCTGTCCTCTCCTCTCCTCTCCTCTCCTCCCCTGTTCTCCTCTCCCTCCTCCCTTCTACATGTCTCTCACATCATTTCCTCTCTCCCCCTCCTCAGCCAATGAGCTGACGGTGGGGAAGGTGTATGCGGCCCTGATGATCTTTGACTACTACAAGCAGAACCGAGCGCGGAGGCTGCGGCTGCAGCAGCAACAGGGCGCTTCAGGCTCACAGGTACAACACACACATGCCTACATACACACACACACACACACACACACACACACACACACACACACACACACACACACACACACACACACACACACACGCACACACACACACACACACACACGCACTGAAGCAAACACATTGGAAGGACTGGCCCTATATATATATTCATGTTGCACTGCTGGAGGAGCCTTGGACTTCAGTTTTTCATTGCCATATCTTCACTGTAGCTGATGTGCATATGACAATAAAGCCTTGGATCTCGAAATGATGCATTCACTGATACACACTCTGTATGCCTGTTACGAACTCGGAAACTCAGGGTATAGGACCCAATTGCACGACCCAGGAGACAGAGGTAAAGTATTTCTAAGATACTTTATTTTCAAATAGATGAACAGAAACAAACACTTTCTAATCTCTAGATGAGATGACAAAAGGTGAACAAAAGAAAATCACTCACATAGTGAGGAACAAAAACATCTTGGTATCAAGGAGAGCATAGATCTGACCTAGGCATGAGACAAGACGAACTGACAAAGAACACATGGGAGACTGGGGAATTTAAACACATGATAACAAGACACAGGTGGGAACAAGACACACAAGAGGTGGATAATCAGGGAACCTGGAATGACAGGTAAATGGTGAGTGACAAAACAACCATAAAACAACATCAAAATTAAACTCTCTTAACATTTCTGTTGGTGCACAACAATGTCTGCATGCATACACACACATAAAGAATTTGCTTGAGCTGCATCTTTTTAGTGTGCTCTTTCAATTTAGTGAGAAACATGACCTTATCTGTATATAGTCCAGTTGTCAGCATAGTGAACCTGGAAATGTTGAGTACCCCAAAGTTTTATGATAGATGTATAGTACAGGTCCCCAGCACATAGAAACTCCTGCATGATAATCTGCATGTGTTGGGCAATTTGCACAATCAGCATAAATTGCATTAATTAGCATTAATGGTATTATGGCCTATGTAAATAGAAACGGTTTGACCTTTTTGGAAACATTTGGAGTGGTTTTGGGGGTTATTGAAGATGCTGAATCCATTTCTGACAGGATCAAAAATGGCTGTTTTAACCAGAAAGTGGCCATATTTGTACTGATTTTGACTACCATGAGCAGTGTTGCGACCATTGGATATAGAGAGCAGAAGATGAAAAACATGATGATCTCTACTGTGGACAATTCTTTTTCAAATAAATAAGCAATCTGTCCAATCCAAATGATCCAGATGCCCCTCAAACTTCCCAAAATGTATCAAAATCAGCCCACCGAGAGTACAAATACTTTTTGGTTAAAACTTAAATGTTTTATCCTGAATGCTAATGAAAAATAATGTTGCAAATTTCCCAAAATATGTTTCTATTTGCTGGGGACCCGTACTTTACATTTCTATCATCAAACCTTGGGGTACTCAACATTTCTGGGTTCACTATTGAACTCTATGAGCTCGCAACTAGACTAAACGCTCATAATTATTTTAAGAATAAAGCACTTTTGTAATTCATATTTAAAAAAATCTCAGCGACCTCCTTCAGTACACGAATGTCCCCCTAGGGGAACTATTACCCCATTTGAGAAACAAGGCATGCTTAGCAGCTACAGCCGAGGGTGATCCTGCATCCGCCGCTGGTCGCTGCTCATTTGCAAGTTGCACATCTACTCTACAGGTGCATGTCTGTTTGGGAACACACAGATACTCATGGATACACACAGATGAACCACATACAAAGCATGGTCCAGGTCTCCACGTGACACCCCTATGTCGGAGCTGGGTGCAACAATATTCTGCCTGCTGCCTCTGAATGTCTTTAGCATGTTGCCATACGTTTCTTCTCCACAGTGCAAGGTCGGGGCTCTGTTTAAGCCATTGCTGCCTCTGACTCACATGCAGGAGAAAGATCTGCCTATGATGCTAAACAGTGTGGAGCCTCCCAGCATGCTTCAGCCCAAATCCAAGTCCCAGCTACAGACCAGACCTAGCTCCAACTCCCTGAACAACGGAGGCACGCTGTAAGTTTCACGCTTCAGGAAATAAAGATTTAGCTCACACACAAGACTACATTCAGAGTAAGAGCCAAGAGTGACTTTACAACATCAACACTTTCGACACAAGGTAACACCAGGGTTAGGTGTACTGCCTTCAGACATCATGCCAGCCATCATGACCCTAAAAGTATAATACTGCCAGATTTTTTAAGAAAATGACATTGTGTAAATGTATGCTGAGGATGACCCTTTTGGTGGAGAACTTTTGATAGTGAAACTTTTTCCAGATAAAAGTGACCATCAAAAATGGTGTGGCCTCAGTAAATTAATCAGAATACATAATCTGCATCTGTTAACATGTCTCCACCTTTCCCTACCTGCATGAGGGAGAGAAGGACACCCTGCAAACAGCTGACTAACTGTCTGCAGTAATACTGGGCCTGACTCTAATGGCGCATTTCCACCATGGCGCAGAGCGCGGTTTAAGCGTGTCGTGTCGTGCCATGCCCGTTTTTGGTTGCGCTTCCACTAGGCCTAGTCACGGCCCGGCCCGGCCCGGGGCCACTTTTTCACCTCTTTTCTGGCCCGACAAAATTGTGGTTCTATCGGGGCCAACAAACAGGGCTGAGTCGGGCTGAGTATGCTAAACTAGAGAGAGCATCGCTGGCAAGGGGGCTACAACTACAACAAGATGGACATATTTGACCATGATTTAATTATAATACACGTTTCAAAATGATGCCGAAGTAACAACATACTGATACCGGTTAGTAAAAACCATGAATTAATGCTTTGTCAAGTCTGCAGACAGACGGCAGGCGAAAAACCTTTTAAAATACGTGTTTTCTAAATGGAGATTGGCTAAGCTAACGCAGTATATGCTCCGACCGTCCACACTCACAACAACGGCCTATACAGACATAAATAAAGCAGCGACTGTACTCGTCATGACACAGGCAGTCTGTGGTTTGTACTTGTTTAACTTTTGTCTAGTTTCTGAACAGATATGAGGAGCTGTGAGCTCTGAGTGCTAACAGCTAACGGCTGTGTTGTTTTTCTGAGGTTCTCATTGAAGATGACGTCACGGCTCCGCCTACACTGCGTTACTATAGTAACTACCCCAGTTCCTAAACTGTAATGGAAGCGCAGCAAGTGAGCCGGCCCTGTTAAGGCCCAACGCGGCCAAGCAGTACCGAGCGTGGCCGAGGCCGACCGTGTGGTGGAAATGCGCCATAAGACTATGTCTGGGTTCACTACACCAAGACAACATGCTATAGTCAGACCAATCAGTATTCTTGAATTTACCACCTCAGTACGGCAATTCTAAGTTGGATTTACAACTTAGAATTTAAAACCTACAGTAAGATCACATTTACCTTTACAAGAATATTAATGAAGACAGGCTTCACTAAAGCCGCAATTACTATAACCAAGTATATCTGGAATATTTACAGTTTCAGCTGTGAGGTGAGGTGTGAAAAAAGATAGATAGATTAAAAAGAAGATATACATATTCTCAGTAAAAAAAAGACCTATATTCAGAGGAGTATCTACAGTAAAATGTACAGAATAAATTAGAATACTCTCTATATTCCAATCTACTGAACGTATAGACATAGTGTGCTATATACATAAAAACATTGTGTACAGTGAGAGAGCGAACATTGATTAAAGAACAGGTTCATTTAAACTCTGAGCTAGGAATCTGCAATAATCAAGCAAAGATCGGAGGCTTCTACATTGTACTAGACCACCACATTTGCTACGTTTTGCTTAAATGTAGCAAATGTTATCTGAACTTGTAGCTGCACTGATCTAGAATCTGGAAGGAGAACTTGTCAAATCAGGTTTACATGAGGGCTGATTCCAAGTTTGTTTGCTATACACTAATACGTTAGCATATTGTAACATGGTTATAGACTTTGATTTGCTTTAGATATTTTATTTTCAGGTATTTTATTAAATCTCATACTGGAATTTGAGTGAGCTGTTTTTATTTTTATTTTGTTGTGCTCAATTGTTTTCTTGTGATAATGTGAAAATCTATATATCTTAATATTTTTAAACGTTTATTCTATAAAAAAAAGTCAGTGTACTGCTCATTATCACACCACTGCCACCCCAAGCAATGTGTGTGTACACAGTGTGTGCACACACACTGTGCACACACACTGTGTACACACACTTCATATACAGTGTTTCTACAGTACTTTATTATTATGCTGAACTGTGACATCATACAGGCCAGGACATGAGCACAGCATAAAGGCATCATCCTCCTGGGTGATGGAAAAGTCAAAGGAAGCGTCCCGAGCTAAGACTAAGAGGATCATGTCCCGGGGCCCCTCAGAGGACACACCGGCCCCTCCCCTCATTCAGGTACTGCAGACTCATATTCAAATGCTGCGTGTGGGAACCTGTATTTTAAATGTATATAAATGTCTGTGGCTAGGTGAGTGTCATCGTAAGTGCAATCATGACAAAGGAAATCATTCTGTAAATGTAATTACATTTATCTATGTGTAAACATCTTTAAAGTACACAGTTACTAACAACTCTTTTCTGATGTGTAAGTCATGTAAAGGACTGTATTTCAAACATGACAAATAGCACTGACAACATGTTTTGTGCATTCTGTGCATCTCCAATTGTGAACAAGTCCCTCATTGTCCTCAACTGCAAAGCAAACCAGATCTGAATCTGAATTTTGTTTCTGATATCACTGTCTTACAAGTATGTGTTATCATATTTGTTATTACATATTAACAGGGGAGGTAAGAGATTACATGTTACCAGATTACAAAACATCAGGATACAAAATGTTATTGCAGTGGACATCTGATTAATTAAACACAAACACAGTCTATGCTTCTGATTCATGTATTAAGCTTAAACAGCATTTGTAAACTATTACTGTTACTACAGTTTTTGATATGAAATATCTTGGTTTCTTCTTTTCTAAGGTTGTTACATAAACTTAAGTAAAAACATCTCATTGTTATTTATTTTCTCTTGTTTTTATTTGCATTGCATTAGATATTAAAGGGGACCTATCATGCAAAATGCACTTTTGTACGTCTTTTATACATGAATATGTGTCCCCGGTGTGTCAGGGAACTCATCAAGTGTCAGAAAACACAACCCTCTCTCTTTTCCTCCATACCCAAATCTCTAAAAACGGGGCTGCAACGGATCTGATACAGATTTGAAAATTATCTGACGTCAGGAACGAGGAGCTCCGCCTATATGGCCAACTCTCCACCTATCAGGGGAATGTGGGGTTGGGCCACGGCCGGCCATTGCCGCTCGAAAGCGCTGTAGTACATATGCCAGGCCTGTAAGTGGCGCTGTAGTCTGCCACAAAAGCAGCGAAGAAGACTTCCCGCGCATGGTTGCCATGGTTGCCCTTCTGTTTATTCTCCGCTGTGGCTTTCTTTCTCCCTCCCCGAGGCAAGCGTTTGCTCCCGCTGCTTTAATTCAATGCAATCCCTCCCCGTCGAGACAAGCACTGTAATTCTCTCCGGTTAGTCCACCAGCAGATGACAAACACCCACCTCTCCGCCTCTTCCAAGGAACGAGGGGACCGTGCGGCAGAGTTTCAGTTTCAGTTTCTTTCGCCGGTCAACATGTCCGTTAAAGTTTAAATCTTCCGGACAAAATTAGAAAAGTGCCGGTCAAAGGTCTTCTTTGTTATTTATTGAGCTTTAAAACAAATGAATAATGACTCTATATAATCATATAAGAATAAAACGCGGAGGATGGAGATCTCTTTTCCTCCCCCTCTTCTGACAGCCCAGCAGCTGATCAGAGCACGCTCCCCTCTCCTGCAGGGGGGCGTGGTCAGCTGCAGCTCATTTGCATTAAAGCTACGTCACAGAATCAGCCCCTGCAAAAACAGGGCTGGAAAGAGCAAATAGAGCGAAATGAGGCATGGCTAAAATGCAGGATCTGTTTGGTATTTAGAAAAAAAAACTATATTTATATACTTTATATAGGTATGGCCCTACAATATATTGTTAAAATATAGCATGATAGGTCCACTTTAAGGTAACACAAAAGTAACAGAAAGTAATTTGATTACATTACTTTGATATTGTGATACTCAGATTAGGTTACTGTTTACACTTTTTGACATGTAACTATTTATTGTAATGGATTACATTTTTAAAGTAACCCTCCCACCCTGCATATCACATGTGTTCGTTGTTAACACTTTAAAGGCCTTGCAGCATTTCCTACCCTTCCTGGTTTGCTTTTTGAACCATCTGCAGTTTTCATTCACCCTTTCAGTGTTAAATCGAATAAGTGAGGGCAGCAGATTGGTGTGAATAATGTGTGTATGAAGTGTGGCATTCATTGCTGCTGCGCTCTCAGCCACCTGTCTGTTTGACTGCAGTAACCGTGCCACCGTGACGACTGTAACTGAACCATGATTCTGTGAAACCCCTGGTATAAAATGCCTCTTTTGTGAGATTGGTACAAAGAGCATTGTGAAACGTGCATTATACAGAATGTACCAAACGAGCCATTACCCAGGCTTTATTTGCTGGCGGTGACTGTTATTTAAGAACATTTTTTTAATACGAATTTCATTTGAAAATGTAAGGTAGGAATTGAGTTGGCAGGGTGACCATCATGTATTTGTCAGCAGAATCATACTGTTCTTAAGGTGGAATAAAAAGGAAATCTAGCCACCACACACCGAATGATGCTAATAGAGTTGTGTTTGTGTGTGTGCACGCCCAGGAGTCTGTGGAGATGAGGAAGATGGAGACCAGTGCCAGCAGTATGCACCCAGTGCCTGGCTACGGTCTGGAGACCCAGGCCCGAGCTGCCTCCATGCCTCGACTCAACGCTGAGCTGCAGGTAACTCCTCTCCTACAGCTGCGGCCATTTTAAGGGCCGATAGATTGTAATATTATTATGATTTTCATTATTATTATGGCTCATTATCCGAACATATAGTTATTTTTTACCAACCGGGGGTACTAAAGGTTATTGCAGGGGGTCCGTAGAAAGATTAAGGATTGCAATATATTTCTTGCGCAAAAAACATTTTAAAATACATTTTCATAAGCCTTGGATCCGCGGTCTAGTTCGGCGTCCGCAAGTAAGAGTTCCTCCTGGGATGGTGTTGATTGTAACACCACTGTAGTTCATGCTGCGGAGGCGCGCATTAAAATGTGCTAATATTATCTGTAAATTAGGGGTAAGTGTAGATGCATGGTTAGGCAAGGATAGGCGGAACCAGGCTTAGGAGAGCCCAATGAAAAAAAGAAACGGCCAAGACCCAACACATGCAGTTCAGTGAGAAATACATTTCTCATGGATTTACAGTTTTTTATTTTGTAGTCCTGGCATGGATTTCTATGAAGCCAGCCTACATACAATGCTAGAGCACCAAACACGCTTGGAGTGTCTATATTATATTAGTTTTTGTCAAATTTTTGATGTGACATTGATGACACTTATTGTTTTTGTAGAAAATGCAGCATGTCTCTTTATTAGCAGACTGTGATGGTTCACTCAGACACAGTGAATCCTCCCAGATGTGAGATGCTGCTCTATAGTGCAACAGGTCATGCAGCTAAATGAAACTGAGGACTTCAGCAGGAGGGGGTACAGTTTTACTCATAAGGAGCCTAACATATATATTTCACACATACATTTAGGAAACTACATACATACTACAATACAACATTGAAGCATTGAACCAGCTATTAGTTTGTCCATTCATCGATATTTACATTCTGTTTTAGGGTTGATTGACTACATTTTAAAATGTTTTATCAATTTTCAGTCTTGTTTTATTCATATTTTTTGTTAACAATTATCACTGCACCACACTCACAACTCTGATTTCACCTCGCAAACACAAACATACTAACGCTTGGGTGACATCATAACAACTGTCACAGAACTATTTAAAAAAAAAAAACACATATGATCTGGGACTTACTATTTATCAGGTTATGGCTGACAAATCTACATCATTATTTTACTAGATCCTTTGAAACAAAATAAGCTCCTCATTTCCTGGGTGATATTGATTGATTCATGCATTCAAGGTGCTTTCCTTTCACAGCCCAATTGGAAGAGCCCTCTCTCTCTCTGCAGAGGAAAAGTAATCTGATTAGATCCTGGCAGGCCGCCAGCTATTTTTACAGTATCTTCTTTCTCCTGCTGCCAACCAAAATGATGATCAGGGGCTCCAAATGGCTTTGGGCCCAAGATTCACTGGGAGAGGAACAGGGTAATTTGGTTACCGTAGAGGAAAGGCAGTCTGGAGAGAGGATTAATAAAGGATGTAAGGAGGCAGGGCGGAAGGTGGCCTTGTTGACTGGCTGTCTTATGTTTCTCACCTTTTAGAATAGCAGGCAGGAAATCCTCACGCTAATTCAATTATTGCCAGAAACTTCCTATTGCAGGAGTTTGATGGGAACTGTACCGTGTAGTCCCAATTTCTTCTTTGTGTGGGGCTAATATGCTTAAACCTCAGAGAGACCCTCAGTTTTCCTCCTGCTTTGTTTAAAGTGATGGTGCACAAACATTAGAGTCCACAATCAGTTCTTTCACCGCTGATGAGGAACATTCACCTAACAGTATATACAGAGCCCCATTTTAATTATCAGGGGCTGCTCCCCCTAACGGACTCCTATCCTAACCCTGGCAGGAAAGAACAGCAGGATTTAAGGCTGATGGCCAAATTTGGGGCTTAGAGTGGGTGAGAGGCAATGGTGTGGAGCGGAGCTCAAGTTGCTCTTATTCTTACAAAGCCAGGTTGAATTGTACGCACAATAACCTGCTAATATTCATTGTACTTGCTATGAACTGTTGTTGCTCACATACATTCTGATCCAGCTTTTGATCAAAGCCTCTGATGAATGCAGCTTCCTCTCTTGGTGCTGGCTGGGTTAATAGTTGGTACCTGAGCTCTTCAGCTCAAAGGCTACGAACAGGCCCAGGATCTGCCTCTGTGGAAAAGGGGGTTATGAAGGCTGGATCCTTTGGTGCAAGTAACAAACAGCCATCTGAGCGTCCTTCTCAATGACTCTTCATTGCATAAAGGTGTTCCTCTCCATCTCCAGAGAGAAATCTAACACAATGGTGCTTTTGAGTATGCCCCAACCCGTACTTTAACCCTGGGCAACTCCAGAATGTCCAGCCCCGCTCTAAGTGTTTGGTTTCAGACCCAAATCGATGCGGTGGGCCCGACCATATGTATTTAGTACTGCTCAACTTGCCTCACTAACTCTGCTCAGCATGGCGCTACCTGACCCCAGGCGCTCGCTGGCTGCTGGTTTGTCTGTTTGGGGAAAAGTACTGTTCTCCTTTTTGGCCCACTCACATGCCCTGGGGGACCCTAACATAGCTCCCTGGATCAAAGATTCAAAGACACAACCCTCCTAAATGTTAATAATATAATGCTCTTGCACTCATTCATCTGCATGAATATTCTGCTTACTTACATGTTTACTTATCATGTAATCAAACAGTCTAAAGACTCGCTGGAAAGAGACTGTGCATGTGTTCAAAACACATGCACAGTTCATTTACTATTTGCTACATACAAGTACATTTTGCTGCTATAAATGCAGGACCTTCATTTGAAGAATGATTTATGAAGACTGAACTGTGAAATAAAAATATGTTTGGATAATGAACTAATACTGAATGCCACTTTGTGTGGGCTATAAAATCTCTGACTGGCACACAACAATGCTTGTATCATCAAAAACATAATGGCAGACAATGATTCTTAAATACCTCCTCTGTACCAACTACAATCTTTCCCCCCCAAAAAACTATCATTTGCTTAATAACTCAATACAAAGTGGCTTTCTGTAAAGGGTTTGAACATTTCTGACACAGCTAAATGTAGCTGTTGTTGATCCTGGCTAATGTTCCTCCACTTGTTCCTGACATTCTCTCTCTGTCTATGTCTGGACTTTATCTCTCTTCTCCTGACAGCGGAGCCACTCACGCCACTCTCCAGGGATCCAACTGGCTGTATGTACACACCATCACACACATGCCACACACTTTGAATTTGTAGCGATTTATCTGGTGGGGCTAGGTGAACTCTTAAATCCACAACAGCAGGACGGTTTCAATGTGAGATGCAAACGTCAGCTCATGCGTTAATGTGCCCCCATGACTAGGGGTCAGCTAATTGAGAATCTTGAGCTGGAGTTGTCTATGCTGCCAACTTAAATCCCCTCCGATTGAAAACTTCAGGTGCTTAAATAATTTGACTGTGAACTAAATAAAATACAGAAATAAATAAGTGTTACATTGTTTAGATGTAATAGAACATCCCAAAACATTTTGAAATACAACAACCTTTATTGAGTTTGGATGTTACAGCATCACAAACAATTGAAGATAAAGTATAATAGAGTATAGAGTTATATAATGCTAAGATAGGAACAAAATACAAAAAACTAGCAAACATACCGTCAGGGTTTGGCAGGCAGTTGGACCCAAGAGCAGTAAAAAATAAAATGGCGGAATGATTTAACAAAAAGCGATCTTTTATTTAGATTGATTTCGTGAAACAAGATGATCCATCTTTTACAAATACCACAGCAGCTTAAAAACCTTGTGACCTGTCAAAAAAAACGTGATTGAATCGATAACAAGACCCTATATCTATCTGCACTGTAACTTCTTAAGTTATTATGTCTTATATCATGACATGATTAGAAGTACAGAAGATAAACAATGTACAGCTATGGATGTTTAAACACCTAAACAAATCTATATCAGGCAGAGTAGATATCACAATATTTTCACCACTTCATCTTGCTGTCAGACTTTCCACACAAACTGAAGAAACAACAGTTATTTTACCAGACCAGTCTCAGTATTGACAATGTTGATTTAGTGATATGTTATAAATGTCTGTCCGTCCTCAGTCTGTCCCTGATGCCAGCCCTATGAAGCGCTCCGCCTCCACTGTGGCCCCACAGCGGCCCGAGGAGGTCAACCTGAGGGACTACACCCTGGAAAAACCCAGCCAGGACCACCACCACCACCACCACCGCTGCCACCACCGCAGAGACAGGGACAGAGACAAAGACAGAGAGAGGAGACAGAGGTCTCTGGATGTCCCTCTGGGGGGACAGCCCCCCGGCTCTGCTGGTAAACACACACAGTAGAAAGTTCAGCACACAGACACAACCTTACATTCACAATGTTTCCATATTTCCAGGCATTTGGACCGAGCCAGACTAGAGGCTCCGGGCTTTTTGCTCAGCTTAAGTGTTTTAGTTTAATATATGAGTTAAAGCAAACACAATTTTTGTTTTCATAAATCAGATGTCCACCTACTCCATTAAAAACAGATATTTAAAAAAATAATAATGAAAGTATACTAATAGAAACCAATAAGAAAATGCAGGCAGTAGGTCTACAGTATATTGATCTTTATTAATACACTATAATACTGCAAGAAACCGAATGCTGCCATTTTAGCCAACCTAGCAGCGCTGCTGTACAATCAGAATGTTGATCTCTCAGTCCACCATTTTGATCCAGACTGACACATCTAACATTGTGATGGATTGCTATGACCAGTGATGTAAAGTAACTAAGTACATTTACTCAAGTACAACTGGGGTACAATTTTGAGATACTTGTACTTTGCTTGAGTATTTTAATTATGTCCTACTTTGTACTTCTAATCCACTACAATTCAGAGGTAAATGGTGTACTTTTCCTCCACTACATGTATTTAATACCTTTAGTTACTTTACAGATGTGGATGAATGATGTGAAATATAATCAAGTGTTAAATCAGCCTTTAGTTCCACCTGGAGTAAATTCACAAGCTACCCTGCAGTATACAAAGTCATTCAAACTAGCTGCACCTTTACCAGCTTTGAGAACACTTTCATGATCAATCATTATAAAACATATCATATATATTATTCTGAGTACACGATCGGAGTACTTCTACCACCTCTGGCTAGGATATTTAGCACAGACACTCAGGGTCCCCAGATGATGAATCTTTTGCCATCGTGAGCTTGGCATTCCTGTCCCCCTGTATTGTATTTTACGTTTTTATTATTAATATTAGCTAATGTTAAATTGTTAACAGGCTAAACTGACTGTCCCACATTGCATGCAGAGGTGGAAGAAGTACTCAGATATTGCACTTAAGTAGAAGTAGAAGAGTGAAGAAATACTCTGTTACAAGTAAAAGTCCTGCATTCAAAATGGAAATACTCCAGTAAAGTACAAGTAACTCAAAATAAAACTTAAGTAAAGTATTTGAGTAAGTGTACTTCCCACCTCTGATGGCATGCCCTCGCCTTGTTCTTGCCCTTTTCCATCAAACATCCAGAGCCCACTAGCTCCGCCCGTGCCTTGTAGGGATTCATTACAGATGTAGCCTGTAGTACATGCATTGTCAATACATATTCTGTTCCTCGTGATAGTCTGATGTATAAATATGAGTTAGAGATAGGATCACTGACAGGTCAAACACATCTTGTTCTTATTCTATTTAATTGCAGTAACCCACCAGCACCCTACCTCTTAATTAGGGTCCAATAGTGTCTTATTTAAAGGACCACATGTTTTACCAAAGCAAAGTCTACGGGTTTGCTTATGTTGTTTATCTTTTATCTTCTACTGTTCATATGTGTATCTTTATTGTTTTTTTATTTGATTTTATGTTTACTTTGATTTTATTTGATTTAGGTCTCATTCATGTGCAATGTCTTATCTATGTTGCTGTAACGGAAAAAAAATCCCAAACTGGGATGAATAAAATATATCTTATCTTATCTCACTGCAGCAGCAGAAGCTAAATATTAAAACATTCTCTCAGGAAGGCCCAAAGACTTTAGTGCTGACCCAGTTTTGGCAGCGGTAACTGATTGTGACTGTGGTATCACCTCGCATTAATACAGTGTGTTTAGAACAGTGTGTAAATAGAAGTAGAAGGCGAGGTGGAGTTCCTATTTATATAAACTTGTGTTTCTCTGTCACAGTTCTGAATGCTATCTCTTTTTGAAATGTTTACATGGCCTAACAACCCAGTCAATGTGATTAGACTGGGTTTGCTGACTCAGCTCTGTTGAACACAGCAGATACCCTCAGTGTTCAGATGCTGAGTAAGCTAATTGTGCCTCCTATGTACAAGGTTAACATTGAAAGTGACAATGATATTTCCCAATGCGTCTCAATGTACATGTTACTCCAGCTGCATATCAGTTTACTCCACTCAAATTGCGCAAAACTCGCGTTCCATGGACAGACGTGTAATACACTCAAATTACAATAGATGGAGCTCTAGACTAATTTATAACATTTGTAAAAATGTTGTTAACACTCTGGGTGTGTGAGACGAGTGAACCAACACGTAAAACCTCCGCAATTAAAACAGTTTAATCGAGTTTGAGCACTAATATACCCATGTTTTTAACACTTTAGCGGGGTAAACATGTTATCTTTTCACTCTGGGTGTGTGGGACAAGTGAAACCACACTTAAAACCTCCTGAATTCAAACATTTCCCCCGATTTTAAACACTAATGTACCCATCATTCAGACACTTATTCCTGGGTACATGTGTTATCTGTTCCCCCCTGGGTGTGTGTATGTCTGCCTGTGAGTGTGATATGCTGCTTAAAGCAGTGATTCAGCTGTATTTAGTTTCTTGTACATTTAATAAATTAAATATGATTAATATGTACATTGTTCTGTCTATACTGACACATTTATGTCCATAACTCCGTATGTTTATGTTGTCCAATGTACACTGTCTAAAAACGACAATAATTAGTTAATTAAAACATTTTGGCCGCTCATAGGCGGCCTGCCATGCGCACCTTGAGTCCCCGGGCCCCCTGACTTAAGCACACTGCCTTGGACAAAACCCCATGTGCATAACTGCCAGACAAGCGTGCCCTTGGTAACCTAAAACTATGAAAAGTGTCTGAGTGTCAGGAGTCCGCAGTTGGATGCTTAAGGGCGGACGGTAGACCACCACAAAATCCACCCCCTTGTTAGTCTTACCAGGGGCACGAGGTTCTGGAGGGTGTGAATATCTGGGTTTAGTCCATGGGGGAGTGCTTAACTGCGGGGGCCCGGGGACTCATGGTGTGCAAGGTTATGGTTATGGAGTCCCTAACAGTGCCACTGTTAGGGACTCATGCTGGAGGTCTCTAGTCCGTCCTTTGGGGGTCTGTGAGCCGCCACATAGAGCCTGCATTTAAACAGATTCACCAGTTTATAACATTACTTTAGCCCTGATCAGAGCCCTGTTTTCTGGGTAAGACAGCTCGGTGCTGTACCCTGGGTCTCTGGGTCTATGGGTCTCTGATACCCTGCTAAAAGCAGTGACTCTGCTGCCTGCATTTAAACAGATTCACCAGTTTATAACATTACTTTAGCCCTGATCAGAGCCCTGTTTTCTGGGTAAGACAGTGAGGTGCTGTACCCTGGGTCTCTGGGTCTATGGGTCTCTGAGACCCTGCTAACAGCAGTGATTCTACTGTTTTTAGATCATTGTACATTTAACAAATTAAATATGATTAATATGTACATTATCCCGTCTATACTGACACGTTTATGTCCATAACTCTGTATGTTTATTGAGTCCAATGTACACCGTCTAAAAACGACAATTATGACTGAATTAAAACAGTTTGACAGCATTTTAACACTCGTGTAGCCATGTTTGCAGCCCTGTTCCCTGGGTAACAATTGAATTACCCTCTCCTGTTGAATTAAAACATTTCCCACGGCTTTAAACACTAATATACCCATGATTCAGACAATTATTCCTGGGTAAATGTGTTATCTTTTCACCCTGGTCCTGAATTAAAACAGTTCCCCCGACTTTAAACACTAATGTACCGATATTTTGCCCACTTATTCCTGGGTTAATATTTTATCTTTTCCCCCTGGGTGTGTGTGGCACCATCTGGTGGAACATTTGTGAATTACACTAAAATCCAAAACTTTAATGTTTTTTATCTTAGCGAAATAATGGTTTAATGACCCCAATGTAATGATCATTTATGATTCTGCAGATGTTGTCTACACGTGTATCACAACGGCTTATTTTTAGAGTGATTTGGAAAACTCGGGTCGTGAGTTTTTTTTTTTGTCAATATGAGATGCACTGTTTTCATGTCCCATGTACATGTCTGTACATATGGCCTCACGCACTACTAACGCAGAGTTATGTGACTTTAATGTTAGGTTCTAGTTATATATTTTATAACTTAACTATATGACGAGTCAAGTTTGATTCTGTATAAAACGTCTTACTTGTAGGAACCTAAAAACGTGTGCCTAATCTCATTCTCAAAGTGAAGACAGTAAAGGTACGATGGCCAACATAATGCTCAGAACCAAACATGACATTCCTCTACATTGACCTCCTCAGGGGCAGCAGGAGAGCAGGAGTCTGACCCGGCGCCCCCCAGGGAGCGAGCCCCCGAGCGCGGACGCTCCCATGACAGGAAGCACCACTCCTCCGCTGACAAGCAGCGCTACTACTCCTGCGACCGCTACTGCAGCCGGGAACACTGCCACACCAAATCTGCAACCGCCAGCTGTGCCGCCTCCCCCAGCGAGGGGCAGGACACCAGCAACAAGCAGGTGGGGGGGCATCGGCATGGAGAGTAGGGACAGACAAGGTGATAGACAAGCATTACACCAGGGGGAGGGGAGTTCCTCTGACAGGGTTCACTAGCTCTACTGCTCCCCTTCAGAATGGTAGAAAACTCCACTAGTGAAGATTGAAGAACTCTAAAAGTCATCTATCGCAGCTGCTCAAAGTCAAAGTCAACTTTATTGTCAATCTTCCAGTTTGTGTGTGCAGACAGAGAGATCGAAATATCGTTTCCCACAATCCTGAATATAAAAACAAATGTATATACAAATATAAAAATATATGTGCAAATATGTATGCAAATATGTATATATATATACACATAATAGAAATTAGGAAAATATTGATTCAGACATGTGGAACCTGATCAAAATCACTTAAGTAAAAGTAGAAGTACCAGAGTTTAGAAATTTGTTACAAGTAAAAGTCCTGCACTTAAATGTAACTCAAGTAAAAGTACAAAAGTATTATCATCAAAATATAGTGAAAGTAGCGACAGTAAAAGTAGTCATTGTGCAGATTGGTCCATTTCAGAATAATATATATGATATGTTTTATAATGATTGATCATGAAAGTGTTCTCAAAGCTGGTAAAGGTGCAGCTAGTTTGAATGACTTTGTATACTGCAGGGTAGCTTGTGGATTTACTCCAGATGGAACTAAAGTCTGATTTAACACTTGATTATATTTCACATCATTCATCCACATCTGTGAAGTTGTAATTGTACGACATCAGTACAGTACTTAGTTACTTTAAACCACTGCTGACACTGACTATGAAAGTGTTCCTTATACCACCGCACTACAAATGCTCCACACCCGAGTGTGTTGAATGTGGAGGAGGAAGAATAGGAGACAGAGAATGATGATGGTTGAAGTGTGACTGCGCTCCTGTTTCCTGCTCTGCTGCTTCCCGCTCTGTCTGCTCAGTGCAGTCTCTCATGGCTTTCCCTTCTTTTCCCCTCTTTCTTTTTTCATCATTTTCCATCCAATTTGTCTGTCTGTCATTACCTTTCTATTAGTGCTTCTTCTTTCCTTCTGTCTTCTCATGATTTTCTCCGTCATTGTTCGTGTCATCACACATCACATTTTGGTGTTTTTCCTTTCCTTCCTCCGGCCCTCGCGGCCCTGTCTCTTTTTCTTTTCGCTCTTACATGATTTCCTCATCGTTCTATCACTTCAAATTGCTTGTTCAATTCTCATCTAGGGCAGTGGTTGGGATAAAGACAACCCAGTGGCACTGAGTTCCAGTTCTAGAACGTCAAGCCGTGGACGCCGGCTTCTCCCTCAGACCCCCCTCACCCCGCGGCCCGGGGTGGCTTACAAGACTGCCGCCTCCTCTCCTGTGCACTTTGTGTACAGCCGACTGAGCCGCGGCCTGTCGGAGCACAACGCCCTGCGGCACAGCGGCTCCCCCCACCTTCCCTGTCCCGTCACTCGCATCAGCTCTGAGCCCTTCCTGGGCGGGGGCCACAGTGAGGCCCCCAGCAGCCTCTATGGCAGCCTTCGGGACCAGCTGGACGTTTTTCAGGATGCGGTGTCACGGTCGCCCAGCCCCCGTGCCGGACGCTCATCTCGGACCGCACCTCCTCACATGATAGGAGACGTACTTCCCGCTCAGCAGCAGAACCTCGGGGTGCCCAACGGGTTCCACTTCAGCTCCGGGGGCAGCAGCAGCCCTGGCTCTGGGCTCCCCAGGTATTACCAGGAGGCAGAGGAGGACGAATGGTGCTAGCATGGCTTTAACCCAACCTTCTTAATGCATCTTTGAGGATTTGTGATGAGTTTTATCATCTTCTTTGAAGGTTTCAGTTTACATTGTCGATGTGTGTGTTAAATGCTGTGTTTTAATCCTAACTTGAGAGCAAAGGGTAGAAAGAACATCTAAACAGGGAGAAAGCTTGTAATATTCTAATGTGAACAAAAAAAGTGTAATCTTTAGGAAAAGACACAAAGCATTATGAAAGAGTAGGCTTTATATTGGATGTCTTACAGCAGCTGTCCTTTGCTTTGACTTCAGTGTTTTGTTGACTCCACCATATTGACCCTCAAACAGCATAAGATAAACACAGACTGTACGGTGAATTCTTCTGACGTTGGAAAACAGACCGGAGGATTGAAATAAATGTTTGTTTGGTGTTAACTACCAGATCTGCTGATCACATTCATTAAGGCAAACCAAAGTGGTGATAATCTTTACCAAAGAGAGGTGCCTCAATTTTACATACAACAATTTTCAAAAACCTAAAACTGCATTATTTGTTTTTCCCCCTCCAATTCGGGGGTAGCACAACAACCTGTGAATACAACATAGACATATTATTACGTTTTTATAAAGTTTAAAAAGCTTAAGGCGCAGAGAGCTCCATGCTACATGAGATGACTGCGGCACATGACTGCAGTCAGATCACTGCTGACACAAATGGTCTTTCGAACATGTGGCAGCACCGCTTCACTCTGTGCACCACAAACATCATCATGGAAGAGACACATGCAAAAATAACCTTTGCATTATAATATGAATATGGCTAAATACTCACCAACTCTATCGGCAGGTTAGAACTTCACCTCCTCAAACTTCAAAATGACAGCCAATAGCACAACACATGTGACAGGCATTAAGCTAAAGTAGAGTTCCCAATTGATTCTAGCTGTAGCAGCAGGTGTGAAAGCGTTTGAGAGTTAATATGGGGGTTTCAGCTTAAAGAAATGGAACTGCAAGTCATGGAAACAGGACAGAATGATCAGTAGTTGAGTGAATGAAAGCATGATAGTGTACAATGACTGCAGTCAGCTGTGTTGTTCTTTAGTTTAGAACTCTACCATTCCATGATGATGCCTATTCCTTTATGACATTCCTTTTGGGTCAGTGGAACAGACAGATGCTGTCGTACAGGCAACGCTGATTGTTTTGTCTGTCAAAGAGAGAAGCAACGCTTCGTACATGACTGACAATTTGTTTTATATGAAAATGTCCTTGTACATTTTATTTTATTTATTTTTCATTGTGGACATTTTTTATATTACTAGAAAAATACAAAGGTGTGGTTTATGTGAACTGCTTACGGTTTGCCATTGTTTCAGGTCAAATGTTTCTTACAGACTTCTTTGCGATGTTTTAAGACAAAGTGCCTATCCTTCTAGATATACTGTAGAAAAAAGATGCAATGTCAACTGTTTTCAAATGCATCCTCACTTGAGTAGATGTTTTGTTCATTCCTTATGTAGCAGTGCAGGAAAACATGTTGGACAGAAAGCCTTATCTGCAAGACGAGAACTCTACCTACTGTGTGCTTCAAAGGCAGGAATGGAAAAAATGACCTGATGAAAGAAGATTGTTTTTCTTGTTTTTGATAAATCACAAAATCTTGCTTCTGAGGAGGAGTTAGAGCAGGGCTGGCCCGTAGCACTGGCGTTTAATGGCGCGTTTCCACTACAGCGCGCAGCCCGGTTTAAGAGGGCTGTGACGTCAGCGGCCCGTCTTTGGTTGCGTTTCCACTTGGCCTAGTACCGGCCGGCGGGTCCTAATTCACAGTTTTTCTGGCCTCATAAAATCGCGGGTCTAGGGCCAGAGACAACGAGGCTGAGTCGGGCTGAGTATGCTAAACTAGAGAGAGCATCGCTGACAAGGGGGCTACAACTACAACAAGATGGACATATTTGACCGTGATTTAATTGTAATACACGTTTCAAAATGATGCCGAAGTAACAACATACTTATACCGGTTAGTAAAAACCATGAATTAATGCTTTGTCAAGTCTGCAGACAGACAGCAGGCGAAAAACCTTTTAAAATGCGTGTTTTCTAAATGGAGATCGGCCAAGCTAACGCAGTATATGCTCCGACCGTCCACACTCAAAACGGCCTATACAGACATAAATAAAGCAGCGACTGTATTCGCCATGACACAGGCAGTCTGTGGTTTGTACTTGTTTAACTTTTGTCTAGTTTCTGAACATATATGAGGAGCTGTGAGCTCTGAGTGCTAACAGCTAACGGCTGTGTTGTTTTTTCTGGGGTTCTCTGAAGATCACGTCACGGCTCCGCCTACACTGCGTTACTATAGATACTACCCCAGTTCCTAAACTGTAATGGAAATGCGCCATAAAGTGAGCCAGTCCTAACCAGGCCCAGCCATACCGAGCGGGGCCGAGCGAGGCCGTGTAGTGGAAACGCGCCAATAGATGTTCGCCTAGGGTGCCAGATCTGGGGAGGCGCTGCGCTGGTAGCTCTGGGAGGGAAAAAAACATTTTTGACCGTTGGTGCTCATCCTAATTTTCGGCCTTGATGTAACAATATTCATAATTAAGTAAATGTAACACCCTTTTCACCCCGGTTACACTTTTCATTTGCCCTGTACGATGCGCTGTAAGTGATGAAAATGGGGGATGTTGGATTATCACGCGCCCGCAGCTCACAGCCAAAGTGTGAGTGAGCGTGGGAGCGAGCGAGGGAGAGAGGGAGGGCGCACCGGTACCGGCGCTGTTGTTTTTAGAATCTGGTGCTAGCTGCCAGCTAAAATCTCGCCTGGGGCAGCAAATTGTCTAGAGCTGGCCCTGAGTTAGAGTCAGCTTTGTGAAAACATTATGCGTGCATTCAACACTTTAAACTGCATTGTAACATGCCAGTAACGCACTGTGCATGTTCAGATGAAAGGCCTGGGTCTTGGTGAGCATGGCTAGCTAGCTGCTTCACTGGACTGAAGAGTGTGTGGGTCAGCTGAGTGTGTGGGTCAGCTGAGTGTGCGGTTTAAGAAGTGTGCGTTGTGATTCAGACCCAGAGTAGCAAAGGGTGATCTCTTTACTGTTATTTGATTCAAGTTGGGCCCTGTGTGTGTGTGTGTGTGTGTGTGTGTGTGTGTGTGTGTGTGTGTGTGTGTGTGTGTGTGTGTGTGTGTGTGTGTGTGTGTGTGTGTGTGTGTGTGTGTGTGTGTGTGTGTGTGTGTGTGTGTGTGTGTGTGTGTGTGTGTGTGTGTGTGTGTGTGTGGGGATTAAAATAGTTCATCTCTGATTGATGCAATTTTACTGGCGATCCTGTTTGTCGTGTTTTTGTCTTTTTCCATACTTGTGCATTACGGGCAACAACTGTATGTTGTGATGGGCTATCAAGATATTGCAAGCATGTGTTGACATCAGTCTTTGGTATGGAAAAGGTGTTCCCCTCTAGCTGCCAGTTTGTAACGTTCCCACACAGAGGAACCATCAAAGAGAGTGACTAGTAGAAGAAAACAAACCATTATACATTAGCAACATTAGCTTCGTCCCTATTCCATACTGCATACGAAGGCAGATGGTATGTGTTGGTATATTCACAGAAAGATAACTTAAAGATGTGATAATGGAAGGACATGTGCTTGACTTTTTGGTGTGCTGATGGACAATACTTTGCACACGATGGCACTTAAGGTCCACAGAATTACAAAAAGCTGTTGTCTTGGCCTCTGCATATAATATCAATCAACGTTCTTTAAAAAAAATGAACTTTATCTTATTTTACAGTATGACAATTTAGAAGCAAATGATGACTGTGTTCAGAGATGAGGCCTAAAGAAGCTAAAGAAGCAGAAGGAGGTAGATTGGTAAAGAGGTGTTTAATTGTAGCTTAAGCATATCATAATTTCCTAACAGAGAAAAATGATAAAGCACATCTATTTATTATTATTATTATCTGAAAAACAATATAGGGCTGGATACTGATTTGTGAGGTTAGGACTAGTTAAATGTAATTGTAAGAAATTGTATAAGGGCCAGGCATAAAGAAAACATTGAGTTGAATTGAATTCATATTTGAATGTGTCGGAATATCAAGAATAAAGTTAAAATGTCAGGAAAAAGGACTAAAGGAAAAAAATAGGAGAACCATTGTTTTGTTTTTTTTACATTTTGAGAATAAAGTCAAGAAATTGAAAATGAATTTGATATTTGAAGATCAAAGTTGAACCTTTGGGAATAAATCATATCCTGAAAGTTTGATATTATTATAGAATTGAGAATCGCACAATTCTGAAAATTGTAACTTGATTCTTGCAAAAAAATAAATAAATGGTGCATGTAATTGTTTTGCCCCTTATGCCTGGCCCTAATAGTCTTCCGTCAGTATGATGTACTGAACAGGACATGTTGCAGGGTAGGACTCAGTATCCTAAGGCTTTCTGGTGGACAAACTGATGTTTGAGGGAGTCCTACTGGCAGACCTACCCAATGATCTCTGCTTCCACTTCGAAGATAAATACTTGTAAATTGAACCTCTGCTGCAGCTGATTGGTTTGTTGAGAAACACTGAGCAGGTATGAGGAGAGAGCTGTTACTAGCACAGTAACACATTCAGCCCGTCACACCTGAAGACAGGAGAGTAGGGCTATGCAACAAGAGAAACCCATTCCCATCCTTTCTGTAGCTGTCTGTACATGCTGTCTCTTCTGATCCAGGCTTCAGCATGATTGTGACCAAATGTTTTGTCGAAAATGCTATGAAAAAAACATGCAAACAACGAGGACTTAAAATGAATAAAGGCACAAAATGTAAACAAGGAACAGATAAAATATTGAGGATTTCAACAACTTTATACATATATTTGCATGCATAACATGTACGACAATATCAAAGGGAAATCTCATTGCTCGGAATGGGAGGGAGTGTGTCCTTTTAGATCACAATAAAAAAAATGTTTATGAACTGTGATCCCTTCAAAGTGATTCATTTATTTGAAAGAAAACATTATTTTCACTAAGACAT